ATAGATAATACTGCATATAAAATTATAATGTTTGCTTCGACATACGATAAACTTATCTGTATAGATAAATGTATAAAACGTACGATAAAAATAACGCTATTTTGGAATCAAAATTATTTGTTCTGGCGCATAATTATTATTCTTACATATGCACACGAAAATCACGGTTAATCAAATTTATTAATTCTTTATAGATATGTACAATATTATTATATTTGAAGTGATTAATAATGTTAAATATTTAATAAAGATAGAAACAAAACTTACGTCCGAAACCTTTACCGCATATAATGGCTGATCCCTCGCAACTGGTAAAACCCAAAAGTAATGGTACTTTCGCCTCGCGACTCAAGAACGTTTCTGGATCTTCCGGGAAAAATGGATTTGATGATTCGTGATCTACAGTAGGCGTAAATGTCATGTTATACTGTAGACGCTCCTACGAGAAAAATATTATCGAAGAAAGTATTTTATTTGCACGATTTTTAATCTGCATAGTGAATAATTTACTGCACTCGTAAAATTACAATCAAATATTCAGATAATTACTGCTTCTGTCAAGAGAGATTTCTGTGTCATGTCTATAAGCTTTTTGGCATCGATTGTTTTAAGAAACTCATAAGCGACTTTTGGATCCGCGGTCGCTTTTCCGAGTAATTCGGCGAGCCGAAAACCTTTGTTTATCGAATGTTGTTTTTCGGTAAAAGCCCAAGGATTCCTTGCGACTCCACTTTGTGCTATTGCTTTATGAAATAAACCTGTAAAACAAGTGTAAAGAAATTATTTTTTTATAATTTGTTAACATAAAATCTTTCTTTTTTTTGTAATTTGTAAACTAGAATCTATGCGCGTTTTTGTTATTATTAATTTCTAATGATTTTATAATTGATCACTGATAATCTTTCTCTCTCTCTCTCTCTCGCTCCTTCTTGAAAAGTTGTTAGTTGTTTTATAAATTTTAATATTTTTTTAATATGATTTTATAATTGAAATTTGAATTAAAAATTCAAAAACTAGAAATAAAAGAGTTAAACATATCTGATTTAAAATTAATTAAAAAAAAGCATAGATTTATTATCTGTTTTAGTAGATTTGCAGAGATTTTTATTTTTTATATGTAATCGTAATAGTGTTTTAATATTTCCGTTGAGAGAAATGAAACAGCGCAAATTAATTAATAAATTTATTATTAGGTGGGATTTGATTTGCGGATTCTAAGTTATTGTGTATGAAGAGAGTCTGTATCGAGAAAATACCTTTTTAATTTAAAGATTATACCTTTCGCTAACGGAGACAGAGTTAGGTAATGTACGATGCCTCCACCAGCACTTTCGCCGAAGATAGTGACATTTTCTGGGTCTCCTCCGAACTGTGATATATTTTTCTGGACCCATTTTAACGCCATGACCACATCTTTTAAACCTTGATTACCTGTCGCCACTTTGTCGTAGAGATTTAGGACTGTCTCTTATACACATCTCTGA